CCCGGTCTCTCGGTTGTACTCCCGCTCGGTCATATAGGCTTAAAATGGCCGTTCCAATGCACATTACGCAGACATGGCCAACTGTTATCGCCCTCAGGAAATCCGACCTGAGAAATGCTGTGCAGCCATCGCTGGAGAGCCTATACGCGGGAAGTGGCTGCAAAGAGGCTGCAGGAGGTCAGCAGCACAGAGATGTAAAATAAGGTGAACATGGTGTATTCTAAAAGAAAAATAGACATGGGAATTGTATTGTTTATGATGCACCTAAATGTCATCAGGCTAGTTTAGATCCTCTAAATCAGTCCAAGCAGTATGTCTTGGGATTGTGCAATGCATGCAGAGGAAACGCATTCACATAATGTCATTGGTAGGAGGTGAGGGCCGGACTGCATAGCGCCCTCCTGTACAGGATTTCCCAGGCAGCGGTGAGACCGGATCCATATACAGCCGCAGCCACTACAATATAATACAATAGCTGTGAAATGATTGTACGTCTGTCTGCGCAGTGCTGCGTTCACCCGCCCGTGGACTGACACTCCAGCACTGTCCCGGGGTCGGGTTCCCGTCTGTTTGCTCAAGCCGTGACCGGTCTCAACTTGAAGTCTGTTTACACAACACTGAAGTGTTTGCGTTAAAAAAGGAAACCTTCAGATACAATGTCCTTGCTGTGCTTGTTGTTGAAACAAAGCCTGTATGGGGTTGTGGACGCAAGATGTTTGCGGTGTCTTTAGGTGACATGTAACCCCAGGCGAGGATGTGATTGGGCAGGACGTTCTAGGTTATATCTTATCTTCTGCTGAGCATACAAAGGGTTAATACTAACTAACTAAAAGTGTGGGCCGGGACCCTCCTACGTTCAGTCCTTACACAGGAGAGCCGCTTCTGTGGAGAAGCCGCTTTCCTGATGAAGGAAAGCGGCTTCTCTCCAAAATGAGACCCTTGTACGCCCGGTCCTGATGGAGAGCGGCTTCTCTCTAAAATGAGACCCTTGTACGCCTGGTCCTGATGGAGAGCGGCTTCTCTCTAAAATGAGACCCTTGTACGCCCGGTCCTGATGGAGAGCGGCTTCTCTCTAAAATGAGACCCTTGTACGCCCAGTCCTGATTAAGGAGAGCGGCTTCTCTCTAAAACCTACCCTCCAGAGTTTCTACTGTCAGAAAAATGGCAAGGTCAAACGTTGGCCATTCCCAATGGATTCTCCAGAATAAGGAGGGGAGCTCCATCCATACATGCATTGCTTACAGCTCCCTTTCGTGGCCGGAATGACATCACTTTCTGGCTGCCGACACCTTTTACAGGGCGCGCAAGGAAGCTCTACAAGATATGCACATATGGATGGAGCTCTGTCACAGCACAGCAGCCCACACTGAACCCCTAATTTTTTGGGGGGGAGTGTGAATGTCTTTGACTGTGTGAGATTGTGTCTGTGGTTGTGTGCGTCTGTCAGTGTTTTAATCACAAACCACCACACAATTGCACCTGGTGTTCGTTCTGGTGCGGGAGGTGCATTGCGTTTCCATTCATTTGAATGCCACCCTAGACACACCTCCCACCCACAGTTTGATCGCTCGCACTGGAACATGCAGTACTGCAGTTTGGGACGCGCCTTAAAGGAGAACTATGACACGAGTGATTTCCACTCACCTCATAGTTCTATGCCGACCTGTGACAATGAGACTGTCACAGGTCGGCTCAGTAGATCGGGAGGTGAGAGAACACATACCGGATTCCCTCACCTCTCGATCCTGTCACGGCTCTCTGCCGTGACAGGGGGAGGGGCTGGATTCCCCTCTCCCCGCTCCGATCTGCCAGCGCTGACTGGCGGAACGGACGGGGGAGGGGGCGGGTACAGCTGGCTCTGCCTCTAGATAGGCAGAGCCAGCTGTCACTCACGCAGCTGGGCGGATCCCGTCATCTACGTCAGGATCCGCTCCAGGTGCGGCGTCTCAGTATAAAATAAAAGCAAGAAGGGCGCCTTCTCCTAGTGCAGATGATTTTTATTTTTCAATAAGAAATAAGATTGAGTCTTAAAAATGGATACTCACAAGAGTGGAAGGATCACACGCATTGGACACAATATAAGAACGGGAGCCAAGCTGGTGCAGTGGCAGTCAGTCAGAAGTGTCCTGTGTGCAGATCGTTATACCAGCGTGTCGACGCGTTTCCGGGGCACGCCCCCTTCGTCAGGACAGGCACAATTGTCGGGATCCGCTCCAGGTGCGGCGTCTCAGTATACCGCGAGCTGTAACTCTCTATATACTGAGCCTAGGGTGATGGGAGGACGCTAGTTTGTGTCCTCCCGTTACCCCAAGGAGAACTATGGGGAAAAACACTGACCCCATAGTTCTCCTTTAATGACCAAGGACAAATGTGGGTCCTGAGGTTACACAGGTTGAGAATTACTGGTTTGGTGGGTGGCCCTGTCGGCACTTTTCCATCTGGCATCCTACGGTCAGACGATCAAAGGACCCGGATGGAAAATGTACTGGTTAATCGGCTGCCGTCACTGTTGCAGCCCAGCGGGAAATTCATTCATCCGCACTGATTAGCATGAAAGGAGGAATCTGTTTTATTTATTTCATTTAGCCCGCCGGTTTGACCAAAACAAATATAACCGTGTGTGGCTTCAATGTGCTTCAGCCACCTAGAGACAAGTGATGGATAGTGCTAATTGATTGTCTTGTGTCTTCTTTCATCCTCAGATATATCCATAGCACCATGGCAAGTGACCCTCCCCCTCCCTACCCCGGGGGTCCCACAGCCCCACTACTAGAAGACAAGCATGGCTCCCCCAACATGGAAGGTAATCAGTTATTGTTACTCTCTGTCTGGCAGACTTCCACCTTTCACACCGGACGTCGTCATCAGCTACTAATCTGCATGTTTTCAATTCCAGATAACAGGCAAGCTCCAGGGGCCTATCCTCCCAGCATGCCCTTCCCCCTCCCAGAATGTGGACCTCCTCCCTATGAGGCCAACCCAGGGTACATTTCCCCAAACCCAGGTAAGTTCTGTACGAAAATATTTTGCAAAGCAAATTCACATCCCAGTCGGCCTCGCTTGTCACCTGTGCTAAATAAAGGCGCCCACACACCTTTACAATTTATCTGCAGATTTTCTGTGGTCAGATGGAAAAGGTGCAACAGATTCCTCCATCTACATTAAACTGTGTGGATGGAGTAATCTCCACCTGGGCCAATCTGTTGCACTTTTTCCATCTGACCACAGAAAATCTGCAGATAAATTGTAAGGTGTGTGGGCACCTTAAGACTTGTCTGCGTTGCCTGAGACTTTATCTAGCTCATGGCCAAAATGTGCCGTCATCGAGTTTTTAGTACCAGTTTCTTCTCTCGTAGTTCCAATCATTGACAGCCGGCGATACAGTTATGTAGGACCGCTGTTGGCATCCTGCATGGCTGTCATGCACTGGCGGCACCTTCACATTGCAACATCCCCAATGCCCACCAGTGCCATGCCATGCTTAAAGTGGACCTTGATGTGAAATAAGCCCCTCCCCAGCAGCGTCCCCATAAGGTTTGGATTGTTGCCATAGTGCGAGGGGGGTAACCTTTGCACCCACATTATAAAAAGTGTCCTCAATCATGAAGTACTGTACATTTTTATTGGCCAATGAGAATGCCAATCATAGCGATGGGTCAGTAGTAATGTGCGGGGGGGTGGAGCTCAGCAGCAAGTGTCAACACTGCCCGGAAGAGTTGTAGCTTTGTCTGCAGGAACAGCCTGGGATTTGTGAGTGGCAGGAGCATTTTAGAGGTTGCAGATATAACTATTTGTACGTTTTATACAAATATGTGTTGGCTGGAGTTGGGCTTAAAGGATAAGTCTGCCTTTAAAGGAGAACTATGAGGTGAGTGCTTCACTCACCTCATAGTTCTAGCCGACCTGTGACAATGAGACTGTCACAGGTCGGCTCAGTAGATCGGGAGGTGAGCGAACACATACCGGCGTTCCGCTCACCTCTCGATCCTGTCACGGCTCTCCGATCCGCCAGCGCTGACTGGCGGAACGGACGGGGGAGGGGGCGGGTACAGCTGGCTCTGCCTCTAGATAGGCAGAGCCAGCTGTCAGTCACGCAGCTGGGCGGATCCCGGCACAATTGTCGGGATCCGCTTCAGCTGCGGCGTCTCAGTATACCACTAGATACAGCTCGCGGTATACTGAGCCTAGGGTGACGGGAGGACACTAGTTTGTGTCCTCCCGTTACCTTAAGGAGAACTATGGGGAAAAAACTTAACCCCAGAGTTCTCCTTTAAGACCAGTCCACCAGACCCCCCATCACCGGGTGCTTCTTCTGTCAGAAATTTCTATTCCTTTGATTTTTAGCGCAGCTGTCAATGAGTCCGCCAACCACATCATCAGTTAAAGGATTGCTCGGTGTGAATGACTACATGCCCCTTCAGTCACCATGCCAGAGGGAGTCTACGGAATGAGCCGGTGTTCCCTCTCTCCTCTCCCTGCTCTGTAGTGTAACCCGCACTTCCTCCAGCATGGGGGAAAATCTTGCAAGAGTCTGTGTATTTGAACCTCGACTCATTGATTGCAGGTTCAAGGCTCTGCTGGCTTCATTCCCAAAAAGTTGCATGTGCACATTGATCATGAGATCGGTGTTGTTGCATTTACTACTTGTTTTGCAAAAGGTGGACTGTCACTTTAAATGATGTCCTACATCTCCAGGGTTTTTTACGTCGGCCATTGGGTAGAAAATGATCATTGTTATTATTGCCCCCCTTTAAAGGAAGGTCGGTACCAATGAAGCTGACTGAAGCCCTGTATGTGGTAAATGTCCCACAGACTGGGACCGCACTGGAAGGACTGGTCTGCTGACCTGTCAAACCTGCATCACAGATTGGGGCCACACTGGAAGGACTGGTCTGCTTACCTATCATTCCTGCACCATAGACTGGGGCCACACTGGAATGACTGGCCTGCTGACCTGTCATACCTGCACCACAGACTGGGGCCGCACTGGAAGGACTGGTCTGCCGATCTATCATTCCTACCCCATTAGCAGTGTACATTGCACAGAACCTGTTCAGCGAGCTGTGATCTCATCGCATTGGACAGTAATGGGCGTTAAATCCCACCGCTGCGGCTTTCCTCGTCTCATCATCCTGTTTAGCAATCACAAAAAACACGAAAAAATAAATAAATCTGTAATGTCTCACATCCTGTGTGCAGAGAGAGAGCTCAATTAATGGAAAACAAGGCGGGTAAGTGTACTCTGTGTAAACTGAATGAGATGACGGATAACGAGAAGCATCCCAGTCCATTAAACCGGCAGAAACAAACATTGCGGAGTCGTTTAAGGCGATGGAGACGCCACGGAATTCATATCGATGGATAATTCCATCTTCCTCTCCAAACACGAGTCTGAGAAATAAACATCCCGTCCTTCTCTGCTGGATCTCCTCTGTCTTCATTGTATACAAGACACATGGGGAATCCTGTGTGAGATCAAGGAAATCTGTACATGTAGGCTGTCATTACTGACCACTCCTGAAAATGCTAGTTAGCTGGCTGCCATACTTCATCATTGGCTTTATGGGTATGTACACTCCCCAAATATGTAATATATTGCAGCTTAGATATGGCGTCTGCATTAGTTTTAAAGCTTTCTTTCCCTTTTATTTCCAACTGGCCGATTCTGCCAGTAACGTTCTCCATCCAGGAAGTGAGGCGGGCTCTCTCTGACTTGCTGCAGCTCCTAATGCACATTGTGAGAAGCCCGCAGTGTGCAGTGACATCAGAAGAAGCCATTTGAGTCTAGCAGAGGAGCCGGTACAACTGTGCCAGACTGAAGGGAATGCTGGTTTAATGTCGTTTAACCCTTGTGTTTCTCCCCCAGGGTATTACCCTCCTCCTGGACCCTACGGACCTATGGGATACTACCCTCCTACGGCCAGACAGTATCCACCCCTGTTCCCGTCCCCCGGGGCACACGCCAACACCACTGTTGTCATGCCACCCGGAGCCAGCGATGCCTCAGCCACCACCACAGTGACCGTACTGCAGGGCGAGATCTTCCAGAGTTCTCCGGTACAGACGGTGTGTCCGCACTGCCAGCAGCCAATCACCACTAACATCTCCCACGAGATCGGGCTCATGAACCTCCTGCTGTGCTGCTTCTGCTGCTTTGTGGGGTAAGTGAGATGTGAGAGTGGTCTACTATGAAATGATAGTATTGGGTCCACGCTGACCTGTCCTGCTGGCTGGTTGCTTTTTATGGCTTGGAGGCATCAGCATGTGGATCTGTCTGCTGGTCCCCCCAGCTCTCCTCATACTTCCCCTTAGCTGCAGGTTATGGCAGCCAGACAGCTACTAAGACAGACGGGCAACAAGCATTTTCAGGAGGAGGAGTTGCAACTGTCTTTTTCAGGTTTACAATAGATCTAAATAGGGATGTTTTTCAGGTATCGAGTACTGATCTGGTATCGGTGAGTACCGAAAAAAAAATAGAAGTCCCATTAAGTAAGCTGGGTGGCGTGTAATGACTCTCCGCCAAGCTTCCCGATTAGGTGGGAAGCCGTCTTCATGCTCCCTTGTCACCAGGGGGCGATGATGACTACCCGCTTGGCTTCCTGATTGACCAGCGGCGAGTCGTTACATGGCGCCCGGCTTCCTAATTGCCTGGGAGGCCAGCTCCATGCTACCTCATCACCGGGTGACAAGGAAGCATGGAACTGGCTTTCTGGCCAATCAGGAAGCTATGCGCCATGTAATGACTCGCAGCTGGCTCATCAGTAAGCTGGCCGCCAAGTCATTACATGCCGTCCTGCTTCCTGATTGGCCGAGAAGGTGGCTCCATGCTCCCTCATCACAACTTGATTAAGGAGCATGGAGCCGACTTCCCGGCCAATCGAGAAGCTGAAGGGGGAGTCACTACCCACCCTCTGGCTTCCTGATTGGCTGGAAAGCCGGCTCCATGAGTATGAGGGTTAGGTGTGGGGAAGGGGGTGGGCTGGTTTAAGGATAACCTTCTGGGTAGATTTCCCCTTACTTCCTGGAAGCCCAACAGGAACTGAGAGGAAGCCTCTCCAAAACGAGGGAGAATCCTTTTTAAGGGATTGGCCACCAAAACAGGTCAGCCCATTGGAAGGATTACCCTCGTCTCCTGTTCCAGACATAATTGTACATTTTTGGACTTCCCCCTTGCTTTCTGGTGGCAGTGGTCACCGGGACAAATAGGGTTAATCTCCCCAACTTTGACACAGAGCACAAAAAATGTGTGCATTAGAAGCTGCAGCAAGTCAGATAGCGGTCGCCTCATTTCCTTGCCGGAGAACGACAAACAACATCTAGCTCTTTCATCCCCAGTCTGATTGTCCCTGGCCCACCGCTTTCTTTCATTGGATTTCAGTTCCCCCCATCTAGCCATTTAGAAATCTGGATAACTCTGCACAGGGGAGGGGGGTGGGCACAGCTGGCTCTCGCTCTAGAGAGGCAGAGCCAGCTGTCAATCAAGTGGTGGGGTGGATCCTGAAAATATTGTTTGAATCTTTCTGTGCTGTCAACATATAGCTGGCAATAGCCTGCTATATGGTGAGTTTGGGGTCACAGGAGGGCATAGTAAATGTCATCTTGTGACCCTGAAGATGGCCAAAAAAAAAGGTTGGGCCATAGTTCCCTTTAAGAAAATTCATCAGCACGTGTATGAAGGGAGAAAAGGCAAAATATAAGCAGATTAGAATAAGGTATGTAATGGAAATGGAGAGATTTATTCATTGTAAATGTCATTAGTATGTTGATAGAAGAGGGGAGAGGAACCAAGAAGGCCAAATATAAGTAGATTAAACTTTAATAAAAAACTGAGCACATGATCTATATCTCAAACCTGGTCTCAAAGTATCACCCTAACCGTCCCCTCCGCTCTTCACAAGACCTCCTGCTCTATAGCTCCCTCATCACCTCCTCCCATGCTTGCCTCCGGGACTTCACTAGAGTGTCTCCCATCCTATGAAACTCTCTACCCCAACCTGTCCGTCTATCTCCCACTCTGACTTCCCTTTTAGATTGTAAGCCCTCAGGGGCAGGGCCCTACTTATCATCTTATCTTTAATTGTATTGTAATTGTAATGTCTTCCTTATATTGTAAAGCGCTGCGCAAACTGTTGGCGCTATATAAATCCTGTATAATAATAATATTTTTTATTTTCTTCAGATGTGACCTCGGCTGCTGTCTCATTCCTTGTATGATCAACGATCTGAAAGATGTGACCCACACCTGCCCCAACTGCAAGGCCTACATCTACACCTACAGAAGAATGGGCTAAAGGACATGTCGCAGGCTCCACTCCGTCCCTACAGCGTCCATCTCCAAGCTACAGTCTCATCTCCTCCTCCGCCTGCTCATCACCACTCAGAAGCTGTGAATCGAGACTCCTGACATGGCTAGGTCAAA